TCTCTCTCTGTCTCTCTCTCTGTCTCTCTCTCTGTCTCTCTCTCTGTCTCTCTCTCTGTCTCTCTCTCTGTCTGTCTCTCTGTCTCTCTGTCTCTCTGTCTCTCTCTCTCTCTCTCTCTCTCTCTCTCTCTCTCTCTCTCTCTCTCTCTCTCTCTCTCATCGTTCTTCCCATTCATTCGTACCTCATCTTCTCTCATTTCAAGCATTCGCTCTTCACTCTCAGTTTGCTTCATTCATCTCTCATTCATTTGCTTCCTCTCTGCCTCCTCTATATTTCTATTTTCCTCTTTCCGGTGTTATTTCCTCCAGTATTTTCCCCTTCCATATTCTTCCTTTCCATACTCTTCCCTCCCCATTTCTCTCGTCTCAATAACTCGTGTCCCCAACACTCGTCCCCAACTCTCCCCTCTCCCCTACACTCCCCTCCCCTAACACTTCCATAGCTCATCTCCTGAGCAAATCCACAAGGGCCGTGATGAGGGTTCGAACCTACGTCCGAGAGAATCCCAGACGCTACCTTAATTGACTGAGCTCTACGACATAGTAAAAAAAAATTGTAACCGGGGGTTCAACTTGACCTACCACGGATCCTGCAGTCTCTCCGAGACACAAACCAGGATTTTCAACAATTTCCCCCATGCACATAGACGTAGGTTCGAATCCTCATCACGGCCCTTGTGGATTTGTTCATTTGATGCATCACGCTATTGTGATTTGTGTATGTAAAGCTCATCTCCCTCTAATGAGGAGTGAACCCCACTAGCTCCACCAGCATGGCAGTTAAATTTTAAATTTAAATTTTGCCCCGAGGGGTGAGTTTATTGGGCAGCGCCACTCATCTTGTGAGTGGACACACCGCCATAGCAGCATGCACAACACTTCCCAATAGGAAGAAAACCCGCTGGGTTGTTCATCCTGTCACTTGTACCCAGACACAGCTGGGACTTGCTTAACTATCTCAAGTGAACAGCTCTATTAGACTGCTAGCGGCCTGCTAGCCTCTGGCATCCAGGGGCCAGATTCACGAAAGCAGTTACGCAAGTACTTACGAACGTGTACATCTTTCCTCAATCTTTGACGGCTTTGGTTACATTTATTAAACAGTTTACAAGCATGAAAACTTGCCAATCAACTGTTGTTATTGTTATAAACAGCCTCCTGGTGCTTCGGAGCTCATTAACTCTTTAATAATTGTAAACAAAGTCGCCAAAGATTGAGAAAAGATGTACAGATTCGTAAGTGTTTGCGTAAGTGCTTTCGTGAATCTGACCCCTGGTGTGTATTGTTCGGACTCCTTCCCACCGTTCGAAATTCCAGTTTTCAACATTTGAATCGTCAGCGATGTTCGAGTGTGAATTTGTGAAGAGTTCTGTGAGGTTGATTTTCTGAAGATAGTTATTTTTCTGTGAAAAATGGTGATGTTTATATCAGGTAATAACATCGTGTGAGTTATTCTATATACATAGTGATTGGTTATTTTCCCCGTAAGGGGATATAGGGTGAGTGGTGGGGATGGGGGGGGAGGGATGAGTGTGTGATAGTGAGAGATGTGTATGGGGGAAGGGATGGAGGGAAGAGGTATAGTGAGGGGACGTATAGTGAGGGGAGGTAAGTGGGTGTTGGTGTCGGGGCAGGAATGAGGGGGGAATCATCCTCTGGAGTCATATATGTTGAGTGTGTGAGCTCATCTGTTGGTGTTAGCGCCCCCCCCCCCAACCCCTATCCCCGGGGTCTTCCTCTCTCTCTCTCTCTCTCTCTCTCTCTCTCTCTCTCTCTCTCTCTCTCTCTCTCTCTCTCTCTCTCTCTCTCTCTCTCTACACTCCCGCCCCCATAAACAGAGTATGTGCCCGGGGCTGCTCTCCCCTGTTTTCCCCTCATTCCCCCTCCCCAAGACTTGCCCTCATCCACCCTTAGATCTCCCTTCATCTAGTCCCAAGATCTCAGTTCGTACTTCAAGATCACCACTCCAGGAGATCAGAATATCGATGCCATTAAGAGAGGCACCACACCATGCTGCCTCTAATACCGTCTATACTAGTGACCGTCACTCCTATTAAACACGGGAAAGATTCCTGAGATATACGGGCTCACCATAGCCCGTGCTACATGGACACTCCGTCCTGAATAGCTAAATCTTTAACAACAACAACATCCTGAGATACATCGTCATAAATGTGACCTACTAACAGTTGTAAGATACAGCTTACTATGTACTACAAGATGCAGGTGATGAGTCACAATAACGTGGCTGAAGTATGTTGACCAGGCCACACACTAGAAGTTGAAGGGACGACGACGTTTCGGTCCGTCCTGGACCATTCTCAAGTCGATTGTGATGAGGAGGTAGAGACAGTACTACAAGAGTAAGAAAACCGCCAAACAGCTCAAGAACAATTCTCAAGAACAAATATCGTCTATGCCTTTATATCCCACTTGAGGACTGTCAGCTCAAACGATCTCAGTATATAAGCAAGACAACATCTCTATCACCAGAATTATGGGCTCACCATAGCCCGTGCTACATGGACACTTCGTCCTGAGTAGCTAAATCTTTAACAACAACAACTCTATCACCACAGATCTCCAGTATCATCTCTTGATACTGGTAATGGCTCAATAGGGCCACCACTTACGGGCTATTCATGCCTGTGCCACCTCTTGGGTGGCTTAATCTTTATCAGTCAATCAATCTCTATCAACGGGAGACATCTCCCGTCACGCAGGGTGCAGTCGCACCTCCACAGATCTCCAGTATCATCTGGAGATCTATTGATACTGGTAATGACTCAAAAGTGCCTCTACTTACGGGCTATTCATGCCCGTGCCACCTTTTGGGTGGCTTAATCTTCATCAGTCATCATCTCTATCAAGGCGGCGTGACACTGCACTAGTAACAGGGCTCCACCATTCAACACACCAACCAGACCATCAGCTGAGAGAGCATGACCAACAACACAAAAATAATCGACAGGGACGACAATAGAAATTTAGACATCGCCGAAGTACTTCATATCAAACACCCACATTCAACAGCCAGCATACACTTATTAAGTATTAAGACTGTAACAAAAATGCAAGCTCCGCGCATTTGCTCCGGCCGACGTTATAAAGTCGATGTCTCCCCCCGGCCGACGTCGACTTTATAACACCTCACATAATCCTACTCAGTTATGCACATATTGTAACTAATGCTAATTCGTATTCACTTCCCCTCTGCCTCCGAAGGTGTTGAGTCCTTCAACGAAACGCGTCGGTTCTTTCCTTGCGTCAGTCACAATAAACTTTGTAAAATTAACTTTTGGAGAGAGAATCTTTCAACTTCTTTTCCAAGTTGAGAAAGGCATAAAAAAATATAAGAGTTGATTAGCACGATCTACTCTGTATTCAGCTAACCCTGTGTTCTCTGTGTTCAGTAAGATACATACGCACGCACATACACGCGCACTCACATACACCAGTTGAGTGTACACAACTGGTGTGTACCAGTAAACAAACTGGAAAAGTTTGTTCATATTACATAAACTGGAAAAAGAGGCAGCGGCATGCTACAAAATGGCTTCCGGAACTGAAAAGCAAAGAGTTACTAGGAGAGACTAAAGGCATTCAATATGCCAGATCTAGAAGATAGAAGAAAAAGAGGTGAAATGATCACCACTTACAAAATAACAACAGAAATCGACCAAATTGACAAAGAGGAGAATTCCTGAAACCAGAAACTTCACGAACAAGAGGACACAGAACAAATCCACAAGGGCCGTGACGAGGATTCGAACCTGCGTCCGGGAGCATCCCAGACACTGCCTTAATCGACTGAGCTACGACAGGGTTAAAAGGGTTGAAACCGAAATTCTTCTGAACTAGAGCCTGACAAAGCGCAAGAGCCAAACACCTCCACGAAAGTGGCTCACACCTCCAGCTGGTCGTCCCCTGGCCACTCTTGGGGTAGTTCAATGTTGTGATGGGACGCTACGGAGCGGTTTACGCGTGGGTCCGTCGTCTGTCTCTTGTTTTGATGCTCCCCACCTGCTGTTACTGCTGCTGTTACTGCTGCTGTTACTACTCACGACGTTGTTACTGATGCTGGCGCTGCTCATGCGCTGTTACTCTGGTTTCACACTCAAATCCCGAAATCAGTTCGGGTCGTTCGACATCACAGTTTAGCAAAACCAACGTGAAGTTACCAATTAGTTGAAAAGTTAGCGGAATATACGATTTCGTGCGACGGTGCTCGGATGAGCGGTTTCAGAATAATAGCGTAACTGACTTAACCGGACGAGTTACTTCCGTTTGTGGCTCTTGTTGTGTTTCTCATATATATATATATATATATATATATATATATATATATATATATATATATATATATATATATATATATATATATATATATATATATATATATATATATATATATATATGCCCTGGCCGACATCATACGCCATCTATTGTGCCTCTCGAGTGCCATTTATCGTGTTATAAGACGCCATCTATTGTCGACTTTGTGTACTCTTGACTGTATCCATTACGCCCATTATATCTGTAACAATAATACAGTTACTCTGTAACATTGGTTTTATAAATTATAATAAGTATTATTAAAATGATGTTGATAATAATGTATCTGGAATTTTATGGAATATGGAAAATGTTGATTAATAATAATTTGGCAATTAGAGATAAATAGTAATATGAAATTGTGTGTTTATATTACTGTAGCTGTTTGTTGTTTGGGATTCAGTACTGTTTGTGTTGTATATCAGTGTTGTTTGCTTTCCCACAGTAATTTTTACCCACAATAATTGTTTATCAGGAACGATTACAAGCTACACCCTCAATTAGTTATTCCACATCCCATCTAGTTATTCCATACCTTCCCCCCATTCCTGCTACCCCACACACCCCTAATATCCCCCTCCCATGCACATTTCACCTCCCCACACCACCCACACCACCACCCACCCCAACATCACCCACACCACTAACCATCGCCCACATTACAGCCGGTGGGAACATCAGACCGCGGTCCATGTCCGGGATGACCATGGACATCTTCGAGACGCACCAAGGCACTCACATCCTACAGTCCCTAGACGGGTTCGCCTTCACCCTCGCCGCGGACGGCAGGTTCCTCTACATCTCCGAGACTGTCTCTATATACCTCGGCCTGTCTCAGGTACGTCTGTTCTGTGGTGGTCTCCCGTCTCTCTTTCACTGAGATTCTTGGGTAGGGCTTGGATGGGTAATGGGTGGGGCTTGGATGAGTAATAGGTGGGGCTTGAGTAGGTGTTAGGAGCTTCAGTAAGTGTTAAGCGGGACTTAGACGTAGGAAATGATAAATTAACAGGAGTTTGAAAACAACAAACTGGATTTGTAATTCTACACACAGAATAAAGCTCTAATTTAACCAACGTGATACTGTAATTAAATTACTTATCTTTTCTACTTGCTTTACAACCTAAAAAAAGAACGCGTTATGCAATTTGTTGCATAGAGAATGTAAACTGTTGCAGAGATAAAAGTGAAAGGTTTACAGTGTATGAGTTAAAGCAGATCTGTACATCCGAACTCTCTCTCAGAGTCCAGTACTGCTTGTCTGTGGTGATTGGAGTCCAGAATACACGCACACACACGCGCACACACACGCGCGCACACTCGCACGCACACAATATTTAAGATGGGTGATAGACTGGAAACATTAAACATGAACCTGGTAGCACAGTCGGGATCGCTCTCGACTAGCATTCGGTAATTTCGGGTTCGAATCCACAACCAAAATTGAGTACAGACAACAGTATAGATACTATGTCACCCATTCACTAATCAACGCACGGTAACCCACTAAAGCCGCAAACGCCAAGACAGTGCTCAAAATCGGCTACCGGGAACTGTAGTACTGTCCAGTTTGTTCTCGACTCTCAATCAAGAATTCCGGGTTCGAATCCCGGGCGGGACAGAAATGGTTGGGCGCGTTTCCTATCACCTAATGCCTCTGTTCACCTATCAATAAATAGATACCCAATAGTTAGCTTGTTGCAGGGGAGAGGAGGGGTAGGGACCTCGATATAAGCCTAACATGTATATATACACTGGCTGCCTGTCCCTCGACACTCAGCGCACCGCTCCTGTGCCAAGTAAGTCCACTCTGGGCTCACCATAGCCCGTGCTACTTGCAGCCTCTGTTCCCAGTAGCTGAATCTAAAACAACAACCGTAGCAGATGATTAATTAACTGATTGATTGATGATTGATGAAGATTAAGCCACCCAAGAGGTGGCACGGGCATGAATAGCCCGTAATTGAAGATACACAACACACCAGGCATGTATACCCATGGTTATTCTAAGAGATAGTAAAGAGTATGGAACTATCAGGGGAACAGGGGGAAAGCGCCAAGCCATTACGACTATATAGCACTTAGGAAGGGGTTAGGATAAGGATTTGGGATGGGACGGGGGAGGAAGGAATGGTGCCCATCCACTTGGACTGTCGGGGATTGAACGCCGACCTGCATGAAGTGAGACCGTCGCTCTCGGTCTGTTTATCGGTCAGTATGTTTATTACCTGAGTGATATCCTGATCACGCTGTGACTGCTCGAAGTTATCATTGAAAGGTAGGAGGAGTAAGCATATCATCACGGGACGTGAATGACAAATTTGTGTCACATCACTGTGATTGATAGCAATGTGATTGATAGAACTGTGATTGATAGCAGCCAGTTGCGTTATCACAGATGCTGCATAAGGATTTGAGGACTGGGATCGCCTTAGGCTGTGGTGAGGTGTTCATGTGGTTAATGCCTCCACACTGAGCACCTTAATATATGTGGGCTGTCATCATTACTCTGTCCTGACACTATGGTTGAACACTTACATGTGGTCCCTAGCATAACATGTGGTCCCATGCATACAGGCTTATGTGACCCCATGCATACAGGCTTATGTGGTCCCATGCATACAGGCTTATGTGGCCCCATGAACAAAGGCGTATGGATATGATGTTGCATGCATAAGAGCTCAGGGACCTGTGGTTGCATAACACAAGCTAGATACGTCATGTCTTGCATAACGTACAAGTGGCTACAAGAGCCACTGGACTCTCAAGAAGGCAGGTACAACTCTCAAGAAGGCAGGTACAACTCTCAAGAAAGCAGGGTACAACTCTCAAGAAGGCAGGTACAACTCTCAAGAAGGCAGGTACAACTCTCAAGAAGGCAGGTACAACTCTCAAGAAGGCAGGTACAACTCTCAAGAAGGCAGGTACAACTCTCAAGAAGGCAGGTACAACTCTCAAGAAGGCAGGTACAACTCTCAAGAAGGCAGGTACAACTCTCAAGAAGGCAGGTACAACTCTCAAGAAGGCAGGTACAACTCTCAAGAAGGCAGGTACAACTCTCAAGAAGGCAGGTACAACTCTCAAGAAGGCAGGTACAACTCTCAAGAAGGCAGGTACAACTCTCAAGAAAGCAGGGTACAACTCTCAAGAAAGCAGGGTACAACTCTCAAGAAGGCAGGTACAACTCTCAAGAAGGCAGGTACAACTCTCAAGAAGACAGGTACAACTCTCAAGAAGGCAGGTACAACTCTCAAGAAGGCAGGTACAACTCTCAAGAAGACAGGTACAACTCTCAAGAAGGCAGGTACAACTCTCAAGAAGGCAGGTACAACTCTCAAGAAGGCAGGTACAACTCTCAAGAAGGCAGGTACAACTCTCAAGAAGGCAGGTACAACTCTCAAGAAGACAGGTACAACTCTCAAGAAGGCAGGTACAACTCTCAAGAAGGCAGGTACAACTCTCAAGAAGGCAGGGTACAATTATCGAAGAAAGAAGCTACACGTCTGTACACTTCAAGAGTCCCCAGGGTTGAAGCGTTGAACTTAGCCATGTCCTGCAATGAAGGATTGCAGGATTAAGAAGGATTATCTCTTGGCTGGTTGTTTAGAAATCCTCTCTATGACACCCACCATCTACCAGTGTGGATTTTGTGGCGCTGTAGAGTGTCTATTCGATAGGAAATAGCTGACACTAGACGGGGGAATGGATGAGATACGCGTTGATGAGTTTTGATGAATTCAGATACAAGCACGACACGTCTGTGATCTGGACGACTGATTCACGAATCAGGGGTGAATTGGACTTCCAACAACTGCAGTGGTTGAGGACAGTGAAGCCATAGTTCAGGCCATGAGCATGTGAAAGGGATAAGAATATAAGAATGAAGGTGACTGCAGAAGGGCCCATACGAGGCAGTTCCTGTTTATATCCACCTAATCCCACTGATAAGAATATAAGAACATAAGAATGATAACACGCATAACAAACGGCATAGAGCCGCGTGCTGGAGGCTGGGGCGGTAATTTCTGATAAAGGGAAAATACGGCTGTCAAAAATACGGTTCTGATAAAGTAAAAATGTGAACTGTTAAGTTGGACAAACCGGAAAAACTATTTTGTACTTGTGTTGCTTTGATAAAGTAAACTAAACCTATCCTAACCTCCCTAGGCCTAATGCACGATATCTGAGGCCTAATATAGTACATATGTGTACTATACTAGGCCTAGGAATATTTAAATTTGTGTTTTAGCTACATTTATTATAAAATAATGCCTTACTAGTCAACATACTACTAACTAAAAACTAAAAACGTACGAATTCTGACTATTGACGATAGTGACAATAGGTACTATCTAAACAAGAGAATGGGTTGAAAAAAGGAACATAAATAAATTACTGTTTAAAGAATGGCTACGCAACTATGAGAACAGACTAAGCAAAGTGCACCTAACATCGCGAAAAAATGGGGAGACGTGATTACAACATCCAAAATAGTCCGAGATATAGACAATGTGGACAATGGGAGAGTGTTTAGTATGGCGGGCACAGCACAAGAGAGTAGAGGTGGACGCTCGCAGCACAGACGAGCCAGAGAGAGGGCCATCAGTATTCCAAAGTCAAGGAGGACGTGTTGTAAACACGTGGGGTGAGGTAGAGAACCCAGTAGCGGCGACCCTCATTCTCAGCCTCACCTGTAGGTAATGTCCATCACAAGAGGCTGTAGAGTCGTTGCACCTGACACAACACAAGAGGCTGCAGAGTCTTTTTTTGGAGGGATATTCCCGCGCGGGCCCTAAGCCTCTGGCTGGCCCACTAAGTGTTGCTTGTTTCTGTTTTACTTGGGCGGAGTATGAGTGTTTATTACTCGTATGGTCGCGCTGGAGAGTCGTTGAACCAGACGCAACACAAGAGGCTGGAGAGTGCCACCACCCAACACACCACTACCACCACCCAACACACCACTACCACCCAACACACCACCACCACCACCACCCAACACACCACCACCACCACCCAACACACCACCACCACCACCCAACACACCACCACCACCCAACACACCACCACCACCACCCCCACCACCACCCCACCACCACCACACACGCCACTACCACCCAACACACCACCACCACCACCACCCAACACACCACCACCACCACCACCCAACACACCACCACCACCCAACACACCACCACCACCACCCAACACACCACTACCACCCAACACACCACCACCACCACCACCACACACACCCACCACCACCCAACACACCACCACCACCACCACCCAACACACCACTACCACCACCCAACACACCACCACCACCACCCAACACACCACCACCACCACCCAACACACCACCACGACCCAACACACCACCACCACGACCCAACACACCACCACCACGACCCAACACACCACCACCACCACCCAACACACCACCACCACCACCCAACACACCACCACCACCACCCAACACACCACCACCCACCCAACACACCACCACCACCACCCACCACACCACCCCACCACCCAACACCACCACCACACACCAACACACACCACCACCACCACCACCAACCACCACCACCACCACCCACACACACCACCACCACCACCAAACACCACCACCACCACCACCCAACACACCACCACCCCCACACACCACACCACCACCCAACACACCACCACCACCACCACCCAACACACCACCACCACCACCACACCACCACCACCACCACCACCCAACACACCACCACTACCACCCAACACACCACCACCACCACCACCCACACACCACCACCACCCACACACCACCCACCACCACCCAACACCACCACA